TGCCTCTTAATTACAATGAGATTACAAAATTAAGAATGGCATTGATGGCAAAAAGTAACTGTGTGACAGCTGGTAGACTGTCACATCTATACAGCAGAACCATTAACATGCTCTTCCATTTGGTTGTTACCAGCTCCACTCTCTGCCACCCAACTGCCGATATAGATCCTATGGTTTGGTGACAGTAAAATGAAACAAAACCATGTCATTTAACATTATAGATCTTTGAGGAGAAAGTTATTATCTTGTTTTCTTAATTTCCCAATGTTTTCTGAACATTCATTCTTGAGCACATTTGATACTTTTGCACTAATTTTCAGCAATAATCACATGTATGTGTGTTCTGAACATCAGAGAGGAAATATGTTAGCTACACTACAAGAAGTCTATTCTTTTTCCGTTCAACAGTGCTGCTCAGTGGTCCCACCCATCATGGGACAGAAGACCTGCTATGGTTCTGTGTTACCTTATGGCGCCTCACTTTCCCTAACTTTTCCAGAAAAAAAAATAGAAAAAAATGGAAAACTCCCTGTTGGACTTTTATTGATAATGGCTGTACACAATTATGTGGAATTTTGGATGTTAATTACCTTTGAATAGATGACTCACATGTACTTCTGATCTTAATACTCACAAAGTTTGGTGTCTTCATATAAAGTGGACAATATGTCACCCTGTGCTTGTGAATGAGATCTGTTTGAAAAATACTTGGTGCTCAGGACCAAGCACATTTATTCAGTGCTTGCTGAGACACTGCCCTACAAACCCGCAGTTCTGGAAACCTCCATATGTATTAGACTTCACTGGCTCCACTTCAGGTAAAAGAAACTGATGACCATAAAGTATATGTTATTAACAAAGCCAACTTATTTCCAAAATAAGTCCACCTGTTTCAAGTCTAAGTTCTTAATAACTACCACCTCCACTGCATCCTTCTTTATAGGAATATCATTTCTAGAAGAGAACTATTTATTCTTAGAGCAAATAATCAAGATAATACAATGTGAACTTCTAAGTGATACATGCCATATTTTAGGTATAAGATATGACACAGTCAATATTGACCGTCCCTTTTGATATTGTTGATGGAAACAAAAAATGAATCTGCTTCTGCTTTTTTACATGTGAAAAGTTCATTTTGTCTATCAAACTGTCAAAATGTTTTACTTTGACTTTATGTCTATCCACAGTTTGTGTATTTCTCATGATGACACCTTGTAAGACAATTCTTTAAGGTATGTCTCTATGCCTTTCTGCATGTTGGCTCAGAGTTTGGGGTTGTCTGTAAAATATTAAAAAAGGACATTCTTCAAATCATTCTAATAGTTCCCTCAGCCTTCCTTGTAGGTGTAAACATATCCTGATTTCATAATAAAGTTTTCAAATCAGATGTGTGGTCAACAAGTAATCATGAAAACAAAGTTTCCATAAAAATAGTCATGGGTAAACAAGAGGTGGTTTTTTTTTTTTTTTTTAGAAAATGTATGCTTTGCTTCCTGTAAAGTGCATATAGTAGCATTTGAGCAAGGCTAATTCTGCATATCCTGACTTCCACAGATCATTCGAAGGCTTTTAAGAAAGCCATCCAGCCATAGGAGATTGGCAGAGTAGCTGTTATTTGAGCTGCTGCTGTTTGGGGAACACTGACATCACTGCATTGTCCCATGTGCTCTGTTAACCTTTTACCCAAAAGGATGTACTAGACACCTGCCAAGGGCTGGGCACTGTACTCGTCACTGGATGAGATACACAAATTGGCAGAGTATTCCTCTGTCTCCAGGGGGTTAAAATATAGGTGTGAAACAGATGCATGACAACCCACAACATATAGATGCCATAAATAAAAGTATTTTAAAGTTATACTAACTGCACAGAGAGATCAGATAGTTGACAGATGTGATTTGAGAAGTTTCCCAAAGGTGGGGGACATTTGAGTTGTATCTTGAAGAAAGAACAGTTCACTAAGCAACAGAGAAAGTGAATGTCATAGAATAAAAGACCTCGAGCAAAACTACAGCAGTATGGAGGAGCTTGACACTTTGTAAAGATAGCCTCTTGGTTCATTTAAAATATCTGTCTAGTCTAGAGCACATAATGAATGAGGACATACTTGTAAGGAATGCCAGGGAGTAATGTATATAAGACACATATGTGATACAAAGAGCTTGAATTCTCTCTTAAAATCATGGTAATGACATACTTTGAAACCAAGAGTCGTGTCACAATCAGGCATTATTTATAGATTATTATACTTTGTCCCACAGTGTGTAAGAAAGATGGAAGTGGACTAGAGACTACAGGAAGGGTCTTAGCCACATCAGAGTTAGGGAACAGAGAGAACAAAACATTTGAGAAAGCATATAAATGTTGGGACTTGAACTGTTGTATAATTATTTAAATGTAAGAGTGCAAGTGCTCAGAGAAAGCAAAGAAACAGGGAAAACTTGGCCCATGTGTTGAGTACCATAATTTTCAGGAAAGATTTCTGATGATGCGAAGTTTACTGTCCTGGAAAACAATCTTATTCAGCACCAAAACTTACCAGGCATCATCAAATAGTTGCTAAGTGAAAACAAAACTGAACTAACAAAGGCCCCTTCTACCCAAACCAGGGAGTTTAGCAGAATCGGAAACAGCATAGTTTTTATATTTGGTTAGGAATAGATTGACCCAATATGGAAGCTGATTAAATCACAGAAATGACAAAGAATCTCATTGAGGACTTAATGAATTTTTCATTTAGTTTAGACTTCATACCAAGAAAATGGGCAAAAGGGTTCATCAGTTGGTGTACGTGTGTGCGCTAAAAAGACCTCTTGTTTTAGAGCATACTGTTACAAATGCTTAATCCTTAACATTCTGTACAACTAATAAAAACAAAGCTCCTATAATATCCTCTAGAGCACACACTTTCTATTTGTATTAAAAAAGAAAAAAAGTGTAAATCCAGGAGCCAGTTTGATAAAGCCCTAGCAGAGTCTGAAATATGAACATCTTCAGCAAGATCTACAAAATACTTCAAGCAACCTCTCAAGTAGGAAACAAATTCATTACTAAAAATAACCTGCCTCAAGTTCTTTTAATAGTTCTTTCATCTCACCCCATGGGTGTAGGCATATCTTGAGTCCATCTGAAGTTTTCATGTCAGATAGATGTGCAGCCACCCAGTAACAAACAGAATTTCTCTAAAGACCAGAAGTGGATAATCAAGGGATTTGAAAGACAGATATTTTTAGGTTTTTAGAGTGTTCCCTTGATTTGCCACAATCATTAATATATGCATCCTCTGAGTGACGTGATATCTCCATCATCACAAATTTTAATTGTTGACAAATAAGTTGTCCTGAAGGCTAGTCTGTCTTAAAACTGGTCAATTTATTAAGAGGCAAGAAAATAGTTAATATAATAATCACATTTGGGGTTAACTCCTGACTCTGCCATTTACAGGTTTTGTGATCAAGGAAGAATTACATACTTCTTGGGAAGATGAGTTTTACATTCAGCTGAATGTAAGCTGAAGCACCTTCGTAGTTAAAGACAAAATGTGACCACATGTATCAAGGCATTGTAAATATGGCATTATGTAGGTGCTCAAGAACTGTCAGGTGCCATTATTTTTGTTTTAGATTAATTTATATTCTGGTGCCTGATGGAAATAAGTTCCATGTCTAATTACTAAACACAATTCCTAATAATTTGACTATTTAGTATATGTTTGAAAATTTAATTCAAATTCAATTCTAATGTTATCAATGCACTATCACTTTGTGGCATCTATTAAACACCAAGATCCTCTAATATACACAACAAATACATCATCAAATTCATCAAGATGTATATTTCTTTTGTCACCTTAGATACTCTGTTTAGGTTCAAAGAATGTAAAGTTATTACATGGTCTCTGAGACTCTGAAACATGTTAGAAAACAAGCTTATGGCACAATCTGTGAGCTCCTTACAGGCAGAGTCACATTTTTCTCTGAATCCCCAAAAGAACCTAACATAGTATTCTGTAGAAGGTACATGAAAAGTAAATACTTTGGATGAACAGACATATTTCTTTAGGAACGCAGGGAAGTAGAAGATATGCTTGACTTGCCTATGACTGTATTTTCTTCTTCTACGAAACTTCCGAAGTCAGCCAAATCCTGACTTTATAATAAACTTTTTTTTACCAATTTTATTCCTCAGCTTAGGGTCTGGTCTTTACAGAGTAAGGTCTGTAATTCTTGGTAAAATATAACTGAGAGTTTCACGGACAGTACTTGGCATAAAGTCTCCCAAGTGTAACATACATCACCAGTTACCACTGTCTTTCATACTTTCATACTTTTCATACTTAATTTCCCAACAGAGATTCTACAAATAATTAATACTAGTTAACTGGAGTGTCATGATTTTATTTCCTGATTTAATCTGTCAAATACATTACTAAAGAGTAAAGGAAGAGGGTCTGGCAAAATCATGGGATTATTCGAGTTGAACTGGAGCAGGTGAATAAATTTTCATGAGTGCTCGTTAGAAGTATGGGTGGATGAGCTACAAACAAATCTGAAATAGAAATGTACCATGAGAATGCATTAAAAAAACCCTGGCATTTAAAACCAACAGCGTGTGTTATGAAATAGGGGGAAAAACCTCCTCTGATTGGATAACTCCATTGGCATTTACCTCTATCTTAAGCAACACAGATTTCACAAATAGAAAGTAATATTCTTGAGGTATGTGTGCATACTGAAAAGATATGCAGAGGAACACACGATTTAGTTAGAAAGTAGAAAAGAACATGAAGATTTCATACAAACCCCTCACACAAAAAAGGTTAAATGGCCTTAAGAAACAGAAGTTGTCTTCAAGGTAGGAGAAAAGGAAAACTCAGATAATGTCCTTCATGCCTGCCACCCTCACGCATCAGCAAGAAGCCGCCCACATTTCTTTCACATTAACAACATAAGTGTTGACTGTAACCCAATGAACTTACTCAGATAAACACAATGTGGTTTTCTTTTAAAATAAGCCTTTACTGAATATATCAACAAGGTACTGTATAGTGTAGAGTGAAGTTTGTAGTTAACAAAGTGTGCGACATGGTAGGTCCCAGAGGATGTGAAATGCAGAATTTTCCAACACCCTGCAGTCCCTTGTCATGAGAACACACTAAACACAAACCAGAAGCAAATCAACATGTGATTCAAACAATAACAAACCATCGGGATTAACTTTCAGTGAATATATACTGGTCTTAGGAGGGACAGACAGTGGCGATGCCTTCATCTTGCCTCAAAAAGTTATAAATATTCTATCCCATGGATATCTTTATAATTCTTCAGTGTGTGTGTGTGTGTGTGTGTACGCATATGTGTGTTGCATACTAGTTTAAAAATGCCTGTTGCGATGGCCTTACTTTGTGCTCTTCTGGTGGATGTGCCTCTAGAAGAAGAAAAATGAAAACTACAGCAAAAGAATCTGATTTGTTTGTTATAACAACAGTATCATACATGTACAAAACTTTCTCCCCCCAATCTATGCCAAGCATCCCCCAATGGTCAGTTGTCTTTTGACCCTGCTGAAGAAATCAGAGAAGGATGTAAGCCGTAGCTTTCTTCATTAATGTTCTGACTTTTTTAAAAAAAAGAGCATCAGGCTGGTTTTGACAAGAGTAAGAATTAGGAGTTTTTTATTTGTTTGTTTTCTATTTGTATCTCCCTTTGCAGCATAAAGAAACTGCTTTGCATTCCCATGAAGCTGGAAAGATAAATCATGGGCAAAACTGTTCATGTTCTAATGTATAACTCAATGTCTACTTGTTGTAGGTTAGAGAAAAATGCTAATAAACAAAGAAGTCGATGGAAATTAACCAGTTCACTGTCAAAAGGTGCACTGGGTTTGCTGATCTGTCTCAGCATCTCTTCCCCATAACTTTTGCTTGGACTGGGTGTTCTGCTCACTACCTGAAGAGCTGGTTCTCCACAGTGGGGAAGTAAGTTATGATCTTGGGAAGTGACTAAGACCGTCATGATCCGCACTGGTAGGAAACATAACCTTAAAATTAGCACCCTCATTAATTCTTTTTGCCAGACTGGTCACATTACAGTTTTTTTTTTTTTTTTTTTTAAACCTCGGGGAACATATCTTATACATTTTCAACAAACATCCAGATAATTAGAAATTGCATGATTTCTCACGGGACAGAATGTTTTCCTTCTCATACAAGGAAACTTGGCAGGAAAACATGCTTTTTGTCTCTGCTATGGCCGTCCACCATGATGAACTGCTAATGTGTTTGCCAGTTTGGAGGGAAACACAGAGCCTCTCCCTGTCCAAACACATCTCCCCCAACAAGTACATATTAATGACAACCCTGGGAATGAATAACGATCAATAATATCTGTGTGATCATGGCTACACCTTTTTCTTCTAGAATTTCCTCTGCACAGGGACAGTTGCCTAGCTCTGAACGTGACCGTGTGTTACCTGAAATCAGCTTGTTTGGTCAAACAGCATCAAATTCTATAAGCCAGTGGGTATGTCTTTGTTCATGATCTTGGCCTGCCCCTTCAACTGTGACTCTTGACTAATCTCAAAATACATAATAACGGCCACAAGAGAGGCTCAATTATAGAGTAGATGTATCAGCAAAACACATTTCCCACAATCGAAGATGCCAATCAAAGCCTAAGCCAACACCGTGGCTGGTTATTCAGCAGTTTTCCAAAGACACATAAGACACTGCAAATTCCATGATGTGCTTTCTATCCTCGTGTAAGTGAGAGCCCCAGGTATGCTATGACAAATGAGACACGGACCTTGATTTTCGCAGTCTCTGTGATACTGTGTGCGAGATCAAAGCAAAGACTGTCACTAGGTTCTATCTCTTCAGAAACGACTTCTAGCAAAGGAGCCATTTTACATGACTAGGTCTTCATTGTACCACTCAAGCCCCAAATAATTCTGTGAATCCCAGAAGACATCATAGAAACCTTTCCAACATTGGTCTTGGCCTGAAACAAAAACGTTTCAGCAGGCAAATATTGCGCTGGGGGTTTTACACAATATAAATAAATGAGAATGATTATTTTGTGGATCAAAGAGGGAAAAATAAAAATCTCAAAAGTCAAAGTACCATCATTTGAACACATAGTTTTATCTACACAGCCAAGGAGAAGACAACAGTGGAAGGGAATTATCCAGTTAAATACACAAAACCCCATGGCATTGTCCTGAATGGTAGATGGCTTACCGTTACACTGATCACCTTCACAGACTGTCTTGTCCCTTTGCTGTGTGGAATTAGCTTTAAAAAAGCAACAGCCAGAATTTGCTAGCTAATAAACTCATATGGAAACCTAAGTCACCTTAGAATTAATTCAAATTAATTCATAGCTAATTTCAGTTCAACTGACTGCTGTTTTGATTCTTGCCTCTACAACATTATAACTTCAGTTACATTTTCTGCTTTCTGACAAGGGAGATTAAAACATATAAGTTGGGAGTACGTTATTAAAGAAAATAAAGCTTTTACTATAAAGAAAACCTTGCATAGCGTTTTATACCTAAACTCTTACGAAGAAGACACATCGCAGTTCTATTTTGTTAAAAGTGGGAGACAGAGAAAGAGTGAGAAAGAAAGCCAAACTGAGTGTGACATCAATTTTCATTTTTTTTCACCCTAAAAATGGCCAGTGATAAAGGAAATACACAACACGGGGCAGAATTTGATCTTAAAATGAATTTTCCAAGGATATATATTTTTTTAGATAATGTGTGTGATCGATAGCCCTTCTACATCTAAGGGATGAAAAGGAGTGGATTATACATACTTTGTGAAAATGAGCATTGTTTCAAAAAATATCTAGAATTAAGCACAGACATCCCTCTTTTCTCCATGTCCTCTACTCTATGCCCCACTCTGCCAAGGTGAGGGGAACATGCCTGTGCTCTCTGACTTGTTCATTTTTCATGTTATCCTGTTAATGTAAGATTGATCATCCCTCCACAAGTCCCGAAGAAGAGGGACATCCAAGACTGAAAAGGAATAAATGAAATTTCAAAAATGGAACAGGATCGACGTCGGTCCAAGGTGGAAACTCTGTATTGCTTTAAAAAAAAATACATTATTTCAGCCAGCTTTGATATGTCCTTATAGAATTATTAGCAGTGAAAATTAGTATACATTTTAAAGTATATAAGTATATATGGATATTTTGTGCAACCAAGACTGGCATATAATTTTTCTTTCAAATTTTAAGCAGAGTGGGAAAAAAAAAATCTAGCATAAACAGCTAGTTACGAAAATATAGGTGAGGTGATTGGAAGACAAATTTGCAAGGGGATACAGGTATTAATTCAAGCTATTTCAACATGATACTAACAAAGTCGTTTGATGAAGTATAGCAGAACCACTGATCACTTGTTTTTGTCTAAATAGTATCAATAGTTTTTAAATTAACATGTTTAGTATATTCCAAACACTGATCTCTTGTTGGTCTAAATATCATGTTGACATAGCTGGAGCGAATCTACCCAAATAATTCTCATTATCAAAAATAATTCCATTCAATATAATTCTTCCCATTATTTTATTAGCCTCTTCTAAAAAAGTATTCTAGAATATATCTCTGTTGAATGTGATTCAACCTGACATATAATTAGAAATAGTAACACTTTCGAAGGGAGTTTTCTTGCTGGACCATCCTATCTGTCCCTGAAGATGACTGGAATCAGCCTGAAGTCTCTAACTCTGTTATCACATAGGGTCAAGGAAGCATGAGGGGTGATTTTTAAGCTCTCATTCAGAAAGCCAACCCCCGGGTTTGAAGTTCTTTTCAAAACTCATGTCATTTTCTGGATGCTGCCGGGTTCGGTTAACTTATCTTACTGGAACGGGCTTCCTCGTGATGCTTTCTATATTTCCTGCTTTAAGTCAAATCAGGGTAGCCACCTCCTTTCATCTATTTTGAAATATTTAACTTTTCTTCCTCACCAGGAAGTATAGAAATAGCATAAAGATATCTGGGCCATACCTTGTTTTACCCACATTATTTAGCCTGCCCTGATGAGTCCATTTTAATCGGCCCTTTCATCTGACCACCAACCATAAGAAAGGAATTTATTCTGACGGCTTCAACAGTAAAATGGTTAATGTGCATCATGAGGAAGAATCACTCCTTCTTTTGCCTTGGCATTGGGTTCTTATTGTACAACCCTGTACAGTACTTCAGCAACTATTTTTTTTAAGATTTAAAAAGCAAAGAGTTACAAAACTGTTTGTCATTAACTTGAAATAGAAAAGATAGCACTTTTTTTTAAATCCCATTATATAGTACACCGTATAAATTACAGAGTATTCAAATGCACAAATGCATCTGGGTAACATTTATCAAATGTAATTCGTGTGTCTTTCGGTGCACACACGTGTGTGTGTTCTCCAGAGTCTTACTGTCCGCCTTTATAACGCTGGACCTCTGGCTGTCACGTGTGGCAGTGCTCCAGGTCTGGCACACTGCTGTTGCAGTATCGCATGTTGTTGGGAATATGGCAGTCTGTGTAATTAATGCCCCCGTTTGGGGTATAAATGGGCTGCAGTCTGAAATCTCCTTTAAGGAGCTGATCGTTATTTAAGGAGACGATCTGAAAGCTGGTCTCTGTCATCTCCAGGATGGAATTGTCTTTCTTGGTGCCTGCCTCGCAATAGTCGTCTTTCCGCCGCCCTCGGTTGTATTTCCACTTCTGGGAGGTGTAGCGCCCCTTTTTGTGCATGTGCCAGCAAAAGACACTGAGCAAGACCACGAGCACAAATATCACCGCGCCCCCGATCAGGCCCGCCAGCAGAAAAGGGGAGCCCATGCTGCGGGAAGTCGTCTGCTCATGGCTGGAAGCCGTGTTGCTGCCATTGTTCAAATAGGAGGCATGGGTGGTGGCCTCGGAACAAATGGTATCTTCTACAGCTCGGTAGTTAAAAGCATCCAGTGGCACTAAACAAATCCGGTAGGTGGATCTGGGCTCTAAGTTAACCAGGCTCAAGTGCTGTTTCTCACCGCTGACTATGCGTTCCTGAACAATGCCCCCTACTAAACTGTGGCCCATTTTCACCCATGTGAGTTTGTATGCCATCACAGTAAAGAGAGAGAGCCAGCTGACTTGGATGGACGTGTCATTCACAAAATGGATAGAGAGCTGGATCCGTTCAGAGATCGGTGGGGTCACTCTTTCTCTGCCATCCAAGTCGGGGATCGTGGGGAGTTTGGCTGTGGCAGGAGTCAGAGGCATGTAGCTTCTGCTAGGGGTTGGGACAGAGAGTGTGGGAGGCTGGGTCGTTGGCGAGGCTGTACTTGGTGCTGGGGTAAAGACGGGCAGCCCAGGAGTCGTGGTGGGGCATGACAAAAGATTCATATTCAACTCCCTGACAGCCATTCCCCGGACTTGCTCGGGCCCTTGGCACATGAAACCTCGCACGTTGAGAGATGAAGGGATGTATTTGAGCCATTCCGTGACCCATTTAATACTGCAGTCACAAAACCAGGGGTTATTCCGAGCTGTGAGCTGCTTCAGGTTGGTGAGATTATCGAAGACCCCTTGAGTTAACATACGCAGTTGATTGTTGGATATATCCAGCCGTTCCAGCTTGCGCAGATTTGAGAAGGCTGTCAAAGGGATGTGGTTGATCTGGTTGTCCTGCAGGTAGAGCCTGATCAGATGTGTACCTGGGAGATCAGGAGGGGGGTGGGAGAGCGAATTCCGAACAATGGAAAATTCCTTGAGCTTGGTGAGATGGCTGAAGGTGCCCTCGGCAATGCCCTTGTTGGTCAGGAGGTTCCCATCCACGATCAGACGCTCTAAGCTCGTGAGGTTCTGAAAGGCCATGTCGGATATGACAGCGATTCGATTTTCATCCACTCTCAGCTCTTGCAAATCCACAGGAAGCCCAACAGGCACACTGCTCAGGTGATTCTTGGATAGAAACAACAGTTTGAGGCTAATAGCCTCCCGGAAGGCCCCATCTTCCACCCCCACTGTGGATATCGAGTTGTCATCCAGGTGAAGCTCTTCGAGCTTCAAAAGCTGGGCAAGGGCAGCCCGTGAAATGGTCTGAATGTTGTTTTCCTGCAAATGGAGAACTCTGACGTTCTTGGGAAGGTTCATGGGGAATTCATCCAGTTGGTTGCCATAAAGGTAGACCGTGTGCACCGACCGTACGTTGTGCAGTTCTGCGGGAAATCCAGCATTATTAATTTGGTTGTTGTGGAGGTAGAGTACGGTTACGCCCTCCGGGATCCCAAGAGGCACTGAGGTCAAGCTTCGCTCATTACAGTAGACAAAGTTCCTGTCGCAGCGGCACACGCTAGGGCACGCCAAGATTTTTGACACTTGTGAGTAGAGCCCCAGGGAAATGAGAAGCCAAGATTTCAGGAAAAAAGCCCCATGGCTGGGCCACTGTGTGGTCTTTAGGCCCATTTCTGAAGTACAGAAACAAAATACAAGGCGGTGGGAAAGTAAAAAGAAAAAAAATTATATATATATATGTATATATATATATAACAAAAGCAAAATGACTAGAAGGTGTTCTGTTAAAGTCCAGAACTCCAACTAGAGGAAAAGTCCCAAAGGCCTGCAAGAAAAGAATTCTCCTGTGGTCTCGGGGCTTATCAGCCTGTGTTGCCCTCTTTGTTACTGTCCTCCATGTGCAAAAAAAAAAAAAAAAAAATCAATAGGGAGAATTTTCCACACAGGCAATGAGTGAAGCCAAGCTATCTGCGGTCAATCTGCGGTCAACAGAGGCCAACTGGGCAGGCAGAACTCCCTTCTGAAGTTGTAGATCAGGTCAGTGTCGAACAGACTATGAACTTCTTGGTTAAGCTCAATCTGCGATCTGTTATAGGAAAGAAGAGAGAAAATAGTCAGTTAAGGATACTAATGGATGAAGTTCTGATCACTATATGCCTTTTAAGAACAATATGGCTGGGACTAAATGGCCAAAGGCACGGAGGTGGCATTAAGTGATGTTTTAAGCAACAATAATTTAGTTGAAAAGGTATTCAAGAAAGGAACATGATTCAATTATCTTATCTTCAAAAGAAAGCCGTACTGTTAGCTCTCGCCATCAGTGATCATATTGTGAATTTCACAGCCTAGTCAGTCCTCCTCTTAAATATCTGTTTGAGTATCTAAATGGAAAGGCACAATAGGCACATTGTTGAATCCACTGAATTAATAAGGACGATTACCTACAAATCCAACTGGTCACATCTTCTTTCAAGAGGAAACAAATGACTGAGTAACTAACAAAATTTGGGGGAAAAACATGTGAAGCCCTTTCTAAATGCAAAATAGGCAGGGCTGCAACCATTTAAAAAGACGTGTCCTTTTGATCTAACACTGTGAGGAAGAGGAATAAACATAATGCACAGAAGCAAATGTGAAGGCAGAGGAATTTTTTCTTCTCCACTTTTTGCTTCTCCTCATCTTTGTCTTCCTCCAAAGTAGCCTATCCTTGAGTTACCAAGAAGGACCAAACTCCCAGCCCATGATACATTTCTACATACTCCCTCTTTCGGGACCTCCAGGTACAAAGTTAAAAGTTGCAACATTCATGATTAGTAATAAGGCATTTTTCCACACCACCACCTTCCTCCCATCTGTGTTTTTTCCTACTTTTTTTATTTTCTTAAGTAGGCTCCAAGCCCAGAGTGGAGAGCACTCATGACTCTGAAATCAAGACCTGAGCTGAGATAGAGAGTTAGATGCTTAACCAGCTGAGCCCCCAAGGGCACCCCTTTTTTCCTGCTTTTAAAGAAAGACCTTGAAATGATAGAAGCCCAGCTAGGGAAGTCAAGGCAATAGACAGATAGTAATCATGCCTTCTTTCTCTACAACGTGTTCCATCTATCTTTAGATCAGAGCGGTAAAGCAGATAATTGAAAGGTGCCAGATTTTATTTCCTTACAAAATAAGCCAACATGACAGAACATGGCAAGCTATGACTTTAATTCTCACCAACAGACAGAAATTGAAACAACTTCCCTCTAGACGCACAGAAGAACTACTTGAAATTATTCCCTTAGCTATCTTTAGAAACATAATTAAAAAAGAATTTAAAAAAACATTGTAAATGCTGTTTAAGTGTCAAGGATATTGTAAATTTGTTCTACAACTTAAAAAATTGAGCACCACCTAAAAAATGCCCCTGATGACCTGAAAGAGTAAAATTTATGTTTCATTATTCAAAAACCTTAAGAAAGGGAAAGGGAGGTATAGGGAGTCTATTTCCAGGCAAAAGCAGATTGAGACATGATACTTTATTAAAAATCAAACATTATTTAATTTGTTAAAACATACAAATAAACATGTTTTCCCTCCACTAGACGGGAACCATCCCTCCCCAGGAAAAAACTTCCTTTATAACATAACTAAGGATAGTATAGGGAAAATTAGTTTAATGGCATCAACCTGATGTCACCTTTAGCTCAGATTTCAAAGTTTTAACCCATTCTGATGTTCCTTAACAGCTAGTGAGTCAAGTGTGATCCTGGTCCAGGAGCATGAGCTTGAGCTAGGAAACTGTGGGAAAGGTGGAATCTGCATGTTAGCAAGAACCTGGGGTGTGCCCAGTAAAATGTGAGAGGCATTGCCCTAAACATAGTGACATTTAATCATTCAAATATTTTAATTTATTAAATATGAAATAAGTGGAAGAACACATCAAATGACTCTTTAAGAAGAGTAAAAGCATAAGGCATACTAAATCACTTTTGTCCCGAGGAGATGGTTTCATATGATATCTTATATAGAAATGACACCTTGCATGTAGAGTAGTGCAAGGGCTGTAGTGTGTGTGTACCTGGCCTCAAGAGACCTTTGAAAATGTATTTCTGAATGGCAAGCACTGATGCCCAGTAGGAAGGAGCTTACAAAGTCACTTGTAATCAGGGGTGCCTGGGTGGCTGAGTCAGTTAAGCGTCCCACTTCGGCTCAGGTCATGATCTCGTGGTTTGTGGGTTCGAGCCCCGCGTCCGGCTCTGTGCTGACAGCTAGCTGAGCTCAGAGCCTGGAGCCTGTTTCGGATTCTGTGTCTCCCTCTCTCTCTGACCCTTCCCTGCTCATGCTGTCTCTTTCTCTCTCAGAAATAAATAAAACATTAAAAAGATTTTTTAAAAAAGCCACTTGTAATCAGGGGAGCCCACTTTTATAAAGCATGATTTATTTAAGAACAAACATTTGTTTGGTGCTATTAGTATCTACTCTTCACAGGAGGTCGGAAAGAGAGACCAAAAGAATAGAACTTAACACATTTTTTAGTATTCCGCAGGCATCTTCAACATGTGACAGTAATACACAATAAACAGAATTTCCTGAGAGAAAAATAGCTCCCCCAGGGTTCTAAGTTCCTAAATAAAATGAATAGATGTTTCTTAACTTGTTTGCAAGCCCAGTTTTAAGGCCATGGAAACTGTTGGCCAATACTTGAGGATGACAGAATTTACTTGGAAAGTGCACCAGATAACAGCCTCAAAGGCAATAATCACTGGGAGCTTAACAAAGCTCTCAGGATGGACCTGGACAGTATCATACTTTCAAATTGTACATTTGCCACTTGCCTGAATTGTGTCTTCTGTATGAAGGGTAAAAGCCCCATCAGCCAATCCTTTGCCGCAGGCCTTGCTCTGTTGCTACTGAACTCTACTTATGAATGATTCTTTTATAATTATGTAAGAAGAGGATGTGGTCCTGAAAAAATCTCCTAATAGGATTACACGGGGCAAACTGTCACTGTTTATCCACCTTAAGAGGAGAAAAGTCCCATCGAAATCACAATGTGTTGATCAGCTATGACAAGTTCAATTCTGAATGAAAACAAACTCTCAGGGTTTTCTTTGAGCTTCTTGGGAATCACACAGAATGACATCAAACAGATTTGTTGTAATCCTTGGATCAACAACAGCCTATATTAGGTCAGCCAACGTACTGTATCTTTGTTCAATTAGTGCAAGTGTAAAATTACAAACATGTAGGCAATAATGACTTTTTGTTTCATTTAAGTAGGCGAAAATTTCCTCCATATTTTCAGTGTGAATTCCTACTGAATACTGAGGGCAGAAATCCTTTTAGACCTTAAGCTGGAGACTGCATTCATAGAGAAGGTACAGTACAGTCAAAAGCATAGTCCCTGAGTTCTCATCCCACCTCTGACATAGAGTAGCCACAGGATCTTAACCTTTTATACCTTCCTTTCCTCACCTGAAAAATGAGAATGATAATAGTTCGTAACTCATAGTATTCTTTAGAGAATTAAATACGATAGTATTTGTGGAAAGCTTTTATGTTGCCTGATACCTACAAGAACATAAAAAACATAAACTATAATTCTCTGTGTAATTATTAATATTTACGTTATCCAAAGAGGTGAACTCCAATGTGTAGAGCAAAATAAAATCACCTTGAACCTACCAACTTCTATGCATTTCCGTATACTCCAGGATTTCTCAACCTCAGCAGTATTGATATTTTCGGCCAGATAATTCTGTGGTGGGGCTTCTGTGAACACCCAAAAATGTCTCCGGGCCTTGTCATATATGTTTCCTGGGGTGACTAAATCACCACCAGTTGAGAATCACTGACCTATACCATTTTACAAGTACCTTAGAAGGTTAGCATTATTATTCTAATGTTACAGAAGAAATCAAACGTAGGTTTCCTTTTTTTTAAAATATTTTTTTAAATGTTTTATTTATTTCTAGGAGAGAGAGAGAGAGAGACAGCATGAGCAGGGGAGGGTCAGAGAGAGAGGGAGTCACAGACTGAAACAGGCTCCAGGCTTTGAGCTGGCAGTCAGCACAGAGCCCGATGCGGGGCTCGAACCCACGAACCGCGAGATCATGACCTAAGCGAAAGTCGGACGCTTAACCCACTAAGCCACCCAGGCGCCCCTCAAACATAGGTTTCTAATAAACAGAACCTAAAAATGCTTCTGGACATGGACACTAAAACAAAAAAAAACATTAAAATGCTACATGTCTTTCATTCATTTATTCAATGAATATTTATTGGGCATTAGAACGAGGATACAGTCTTAGGTGGAAGGGATGTAGGTTTGGGCTTCATGAGGTTGGTTAAGTCACTGGGGGGGGAGGGGAGAGAAATGAGTAAGCAGAGAATTACGGTACTGTAAAAAGAGTTCTAAACTTAGGATGTCAAGGAATTATGGTACTGTGTAAAAAGCTCTAACCTAGCCACAGGGTGTCAGGAAAGACACTGCAGGACAAAGATTGTGTATGTGATGATCTGAAGTATAAGAAGGTACAAGAAAGGGAAGAGATTCAAGAAGTGCTGCGCATGCAGCCACACTGGTTGTAAGGTACATCAAGAGGTAAAACAGCCCAGCTGAGACAAGGAAACAAACTCAGATGGCAAGGTACGTTTCCCCAACTCTGCCTGCTTCTCCCTGAGGTAGTCTAGTTTCCAGAAGACAATCAACAAACTCTTGTGTCCAGGTCATTAGCCATTTCCATGTATAAGTCTCTAAATATAAGGAATAAAATATTTTGCTTTATAAGAGGAGCTTCAAATACTGAGAGCATTTTTTCCCTTTCCTATTTATTTTAATACACTGAGAATGCTTCCTTTCCAGGAAAGCTAGTGATTATGAAGAGTGATTTAATGGAAGGTGCTAAGGAAAAACAAGAATTTTCACTGAAAGTAGAAAACACAGTTTCAAAAGACTGAATATAAATCAACACGTAACAAATGCTCTTTGGAGACACCAGAACCTGGCCCTGCCAGTCTGTTAAAGCTGACAGTAAGAGCAGCACTTATTCTGGGCTACTTTACTTTAATTCAACTCTTTTCATAGGAACTGAGACTCAAAGCACATAA